TGAGCTATAAACTTCTAAGGATCGCTTTCAGTGTGTCCCACAGGTTTTGTTGTGTTGTATTGTCCTTTTCATTTAGTTCCAGGAATACTTTTATTTGTTTCTTAATTTCTATTTTGACCCATTCATCATTCAGGAGTGTGTTGTTTAATCTCCATGTGTTCATGCAGAGATTAGGGCTTCTTCCGGTGTTAACTGTAAGGTTTATTGCATTGTGGTCTGATAGAATACATGGAATTATTTCAATCTTTTTGTATTTGTTGAGGTTTGTTTTGTGCCCCAGTATATGGTCGATTTTGGAGAGAAGGTTCCATGGCGTGCTGAGTAGAATGTATGTCCTTTGGTGCTTGGGTGGAATACTCAGTAGATGTCTGTTAAGTCCATTTGATATATGGTATTCTTTAATTCAGATGTCTCTCTGTTATCTGTCTGACCTGTTGACCTATCTAATGGAGGCAGTGGGGTATTGAAGTCCCCTACTGTTAATGAGTTGGGATTAATCTGGGTCTTACAGTCCTGTGTATTGTTTTTGTGAAGTTGGGTGCACCAGAGTTTGGTGAATATATGTTTATGATTGTTAATATCTTCTTGGTTTCTTGTACATTTGATCAGAATGAAGTGGCCCTCTTTACCTCTTCTGATTAGTTTTAAAGTCTATTTTGTCAGATATTAGAATTGCTACGCCTTTTTTCTTAGTGACATTTGCTTGGTATATTTTTTTTTCCATCCTTTTAAGATAGTGTCTGTCCTTGAAAGTGAGATGGGTTTCTTGCAGACAACAAAAGGATGGATTTTGTTTCTGAATCCATTCACATAGTCTGTGTTTTTTGACTGGGGAGTTCAGTCCATTAATATTTAAAGTTATTAATGAAAGATGAATATTGAATCCTGTCATTTTTATTTCTGTTTACATACTTGATATAGTTGTACTTTTCCACAGTTATACCTTCATTGAGTTTCTTTTCACAACCCCTTGGGTATAGTCATTCTTTTCTTCAGCTCTTTGTATTGCTTCCAGAACTCTCTGATGGGCTGCTTTTGTGGACATGAATGCCTTAATTCCTTCATATGTCATGGAAGATTTTTTTTTCTCCTTCCCCATTTTGGCTGGGTATAGTAATCTAGATTGGCATCTGTGGCCATTTAAAACTGGGAATACTTTGGTCCAGGCTCTTCTGGCTTTCATAGTTTGCATTGAAAAGTCAGCTGTAATCCTAATGGGTTTCCTTTATATGTGACTAGTTTCTCTTTTGCAGCTTTCAGTATTGTCTCTTTGTTTTGTACATTTAGTGTTTTTACTATGATGTGCCATGGAGAGTACTGACTTTAATAATGTGCTATAAAGGAATATGGCATCCACATTTGTTGTTGCAATACATTTTTACTTATTTTTCTAAAGTCCCTGGCTCCACTGGTATATTCCTGCATAGCTGCAAAAATAGAGCTAAGGGTGTACTTTAGCACTTCTGAAGTTTCTCTTCACTGAAAAGAATATAGACGATCCAGTGCCTCCAAACAAGTTAATAAGTGACTATCCTAAAGATTTGAGTTTCGAAACAGAACACATATTCTTAGCCAAAAGTAAAAGCAGATCTTTATT